GTGAATGGAGTTGAAGAGCAGAATGTAGTAAAGTAGCAGTTACAAGGAAAACTCATATTCATTTACTTTATTGAAGCCTTGTGCCTCATAGATGATACATCTGTGTATAAGCAAGATACAATATATTTATATATATGCATAGATTATTCATTCTTAAGCGGTTACAAGTACATCAAACTCTACAAACATAAAATAACAAAAGACAAAATATGGCCCAACTAGAACAAGCTTTTATTGGTTCTGGTTGTATTGGCAAGTCCATGAACTCCTTTGCTTGTGGTTCTAGTCTCAAATCTTTTTGGTAGGCAACTGAACCAGTGTACGGTATTCTCCGAGAGCCCACAATGGGAAGATATTCCTATATGCTGCATAGTGCAACATGGCATTCCTCATAAAAACTCCCATAAGTTCCTGCAATAGAAAAAGAGTAGCAAATAGTTAGTGTATGTGTGTGTGTATATATATATATAAGTAAATATGTATTGTCATTCTTCTTTTCCATTTTTGGTTTTACTACAGTACCTGTTGGGGGAAATCACCGTCATCCAATTGACTGTTCATCAACACCCTTGCAGCACGGTGAATAGGAGTTGGATCTCTCTCAGCCTATAACAAAGATAAGAATTATTTAGAGATCAGTTTTGTGGAGGGAATTGTGACGGATCAAAACAGAGCATGGAGAGAGCAGAGGTTAGCTCTGAGATGTTTAAATCATTACTGACCTGCCGGCCATGAATCAGACCCATCAGTCCAAGTGCAGTTTGAACCAAATTTGTACTGTCTTGAGCTGTATATTTCTGAAGATATAGAAAAGGGAAATATTATGAGGATTATGCTTTCTTTGCAAATGAATTTGATTACAATCAGGTTAGTAGAAGAATTCTAATACCTTGTTTGTGCATGAGGTGTAGTGCTCTCCCCAACCACCATCTTCCCTTTGAGTTTTGAGCAAAAAGTCAACACCTTTGCGTACTGCCTCGCAATTGTTGTATGTTCTGCCTGCAGCCTCCAACCCTTTGATTGCAAACCAGGTACCATACACAAAGCAGATTCCCCAGTTTCCATACCATGAGCCATCAGGATATTGTATGTCTTCAATGTAGTCTGCAGCCCTTGTGATGAAATTGTTGATCTCTTTCCTTCTGTGCCCAGGGTACAACTTCCTGAACAAAATTAAGGCCTGGATTGAAGATGAAGTGCACTCGATGTACTCGTATTCGATGACAAGGTCCTCGAGAAATTCCACGGGGTTGAGCCACTCTAACCATTTTGGTGCTCCTGTTGGCTCCCAGGCTGATACACCACCGTTTGGACTCTGAAGAGACATTATGACATTGACAGCATCATACATACACTCAGCTTCCATTGGCTCACCAACAACTTCTGGGGACATATTTGCAAACAGGCAGCAACACTGAAACAAAAAAGTTACAAGTCAGCCCCATTGTCATCATAGTTGAAGCTCAGTCTTCAACTTGAGTAAAGTGCATGATTAAAATCAATTACCCTCAATGCCTCTGCAGTACAATCGGAAACTTGCCATCCATGATCCCGATCAGAGAAAGTCCATGCTCCCTTAGAGATGTGACGGAAATGAGCTAAGTAGTCGCCGGAAGTATTGATCCTCACCTACAATGTTACATACAGGATTAATATTTTAGGCCAACAGAAAATCTCAAAATAACGGAAACATTTGAAATATTATTAAAGAAAATTCTTTATGGATTAAATAGGGAACCTGAGATATCTTCAGGAATTCGTGTGCTTTCTTAAGTACAGGTCCCATTTCAGCATTGAGATTCCCAGCAAGCAAAGCTTGAATTACAAGAGCACAATCCCATGACTGGCTGCCAAAACTCTGCATCTTGATTCCATCCTCTCCAAGCCATATATAATCTGTAACTCTAGGAATATGCTTCTTAAAAGCTTCTCCACTAGGATCCTCGGCCCAGCAAGCAAGCATCATCAATGGCTGTCCAATTCAAATGGCATCATTAGATCACTAAAATAACCATCAGGCATTCTTTTACACATTCCATATCTTTCTTCTTCTAGCTAATTTCATTACCTTCTCCACGCATCCGATCGTAATATAGCGACTGTTCTCATCTTCATAATGAATTTGGTCAATTGTAAATTGAATAGCATTGTCTCTGATCTTCTTGAAGGGCCAGATCTTAAGAAGAGGTTCAGCAACTGTGTAAAGACTGTCCCACATAAAACGTTGAACCCTGCCATGGGGATAGTAGTTATCTTCCTGCATTGATCAACAATGTACAGCAAAGTCAGCTTGTGTATGTGAGTAAAATTTCAAGAACATTATATTAAAGTTGCGTATATGAATTCACGAACAGAAAAATAAACTCACCTTTGCACACGAATGGCGCACTGTACTCCAGTTAATTTCGCTGTATGGTTCACGGTAAATTTCTTGTCTCAATTCTTCAACAAGAGGAGTGATTGGACCAACAAATCTTGTGGCATAAAAGTAAGACATAGGTAGGTAAGTCAACCTGCAGTAGCAGAACATTTTTGCTGCACACAAGAAGCAGTACTAGTTAGAACCAGAAAGTAAAAAAAATACTATAAAGACTTATCATAAGTAGCAAACTTCAGTAAAAAAAAGGGACTGTGCAAGAAAATTGTGCTTACATGGATGAAAAGGAAGCAGAGTAGGGTAACTCCAAAACTCCGGGGGCATGGGGTTGCTGCCTTCCCAATCGTACACACCAAGGATCTGCAACACAATAATTAAGTTCAATCATTTGAACAATAAAGATCTTCTTTCTAGACATATTCATTAAGCATGCATCCTTCGCAGTACAACAACATTTTATCTGTATTTCAATCAAGTATGTCATACCGCCATCCAAGTTTTTCCCCATGATGCAGCATAGTATGCACCCCCACGGTCAAGAATCCACTTTCGTGCCCTTGCGCATGCGTTGTCACGACCGCCATCGGGGCCATCTCCGAGTATACGCATCATACAGTAGTTAAGACATGTGGTGAACATCATACTAGGCCCTGCTATGTGCAATCCCCACCCACCATCTTCATTCTGCAGTAGACAAGTTCATAATTCAATAAACTCAACCACAAAACAAAACATAATAAGAAATAATTGATCCTTTGAATTAATAGCTTCTAATTACCTGATGGTTGTATGTATAACGCAAGATTTCCTTCTTATGCTCAGGTGTGAAAATAACATTAAGATATCCTGGAATGTATGCAGCCATGACCTGCATTGAAATAATGTAACAGTTGGTTAGTTGTCAAATACTTGTGCACCAAAAAGAAACCCAATTTTTTTTTACTGTCACAGTGTCACTTACAGCATCTCTTTTTTTTTTTTTACTGTAAATATTTTTTTTTATGGTAAATGATCAATTTTTTTACTGTGAGATGAAGAGTAGTAATTACCAGGGGTGGAAAGTAAAAGTTTGGGCCAGCATTTTCAGCAGGCCAATGCCCATGAGGTGATTGCAAGGCATTCCAAAAGGTAGCAGCCCTCCTGTATGCAGCTGTGGCCTGATCATATGTGATTTCCTCACCCTCCCCAATTCTTACTGGTGGAATTTCTTGTTTGAAGTTTCTCTCTCTTAACATCTGCCATTGGTCAACGAAAAAAAATTAATAAACAAAGATTAATAGTGGGAACATTGCATTAATTTATAACCAATAATACAATTTTGAGATTTTCTTTGTCTGATTTGGTACAATTACATGAAAAATGTGATGGGGGAAAAGCTGTGCCTTTCTGGGGCCCTTCCCCTTTCCTTTTCACTCACCTAATACAAGTGTATATAACTGTCTCATCACCACTAAAATTAATTATTTGCTCTGACTTGTACTCAATGTGAAGGTTAACATATGGATTATTCTCTTAATTCACCAACAAAGGGTCTTAATTCACCAACAAAGGGTTATCTTTAATTAAGGTTAACATTGGCCTGTTCAAGGCTCCTCAAACTCTTGACCCATTGGTAATAAAAACATTAGTTTAAGGTTACTGTGCTTCAAATTCTTGGTGTCTAAATTATGAATACAATTATCGCTTATTTTTTTTTTTAAAAAAAAGGAGTTAATAGGTCATACTGATAATTATTAGGAAGACTTTGGAAAAACACAAAGAATAGAGAAATTTTGTAAAAAAAGTCAAAATGGATAAAATTGTCTTTATTTATTTTTGGATTTCCTAAAGAATCTTTTACATTTGTATGTCTTTAATTTGAAAGTTGAGAGGTTTTTATGTCTTTTTTGAAAAATCTTTGGCTTTTTCCAAAAGTTAATTTTTTTTTTTTTTGGCTAAAACCTAAATTTACTTAATTTAGGGAGACTTTACTTAATTATAATTAGTTTGGACTAATTAAATTTTAATCAAAGGACAACCATTTGTATACAAAGAAATACACTATTCAGTATTTGTATACATATCATTAAGTATTGTGGGTTTCTTTAAATATTGCTAAGTCCCAGATTAAGTCCAATCAGTATCTACATCCACCATTTAAAGAAATGGTCCAACCAGTGGTCAAACAAAGTTGGCCAGTGGACTTTTACCGCAAAAAAAAAAAAATCACATGACTTTCCTAAGTTCACGCAGGTTTACCAGTGGACTTTTTAGAAACTTTTGCAATTGGTGGAGTAATTTGTAAAAAAGAAAAAAATTATATATTTATATCACGTTTTTTAAGTATTAACATGAAATCATATACGACAAAAAGAAAGGATTGGGGTTGGAATTTAAAATATTTAAATGTTTTCTTGTTGTTATCAGAGGAAGGCATAATCTTCTTGAGATTCATCCAAATCTTCAACATGTGTGTATGTCTCCACTAATGTGGTGCAAATAAACTATACCTTAAAAAAAATATATTAGTAAACAATTAAAGCAGGCCGCCCAAAATTTATAATAATTACCTGAAAACGCCAGAGGAGATCACTGCTGGGCTGAACCTTGAAGCGGTTTCTGTAGAAATTTTCACGAGCTTCTTCAACCTCTGCTCTCTCTTCAGGAGTACCTGCATCTGGGTCAAACTCCCATGTCTGCCTTCCATGGAAGTTGTTTGTGCTGAACAACAAGGGGTCATTTGCCCCCTCTCCAAACTTCATCCTCCACATCTTCTCTTGATCACTTAATTAATTAGTACAAAAAGTTTCTTCTTGTATTAACTGCATGAATGGAGCACAGAAAAAATTAGTATGATTCTTGAGTACTAATAATATGACTAGAAAATATTAATCTATCTACGACGAAGCTCTCGTAGACTTGTAGCTCCATTGGTTGAGAGTATTTAACCAAGAGGTAAGGTGAGAGTTCGAATTTCCATTTCTGTCTTACCTACCTCACCTCTTTGGTAGAAATACAGAAAAAAAAAAAAAAAAAAAAAAAAAAAAAAAAAAAAAAAAAAAAAAAAAAAAAAAAAAAAAAAAAAAAAAAAAAAAAAAAAAAAAAAAAAAAAAAAAAACTACTAGGGCAAATGAGAGATTCTAAAAGCTGGCCTGATGTTCATCCATTTGAACTCTTGTATATATATATTTGAGTACATATGTGAAGGAACTGGCTGTTGAGAACTCACCGATCTGCAAAAACTGGCTGGTGATGATGAGGGAAGGAACAAGGACGGGTTGCTTGAGTTAGTTGCTTAGCACAAATAATACTGATGAGTCTGTGATGTTTGATGCATGGGAACCCCACTTTATATAGATACAAAGGTTTTGCTTACAGACGCCGACAATAAAATAAAAATCCACCAAGCCCCATTTTTTCGAATATTTTATCCATCCTCAACTGTTTGTGTGACTGAGAGAGAGAGAGAGAGAGAGAGAGAGAGAGAAATTAGAGGTAAAATAAAATAATTCCAAGTCAACTTTGGTGTTTATAAATTATATTTTCTCATAATAATTGTATTTTGGTTTCTAGTATACGATTCAACTAATCAATATTTTTACTACATGTACAAGTTTTTACTTTTTCATATTTTTTATTTTTTATGTTCATTGCCAGAACAAATTGTCCCATCAATATTATCGCATGCATCTTCCATCTTTCCTTTTCTTTTTGGGGTTAGGAAAGGGCTAGATTATTAATGAGAGCAAAAAAGTTGGTCACAAGAAACGTCATTTCGTAAAATTTCTTCCAGCCCAACCACACAGGGCCTTCCACCAAAAGCAATCAAAGTTGGTCACAAATTAATATGCATACCTTATAGTTGGAAATAAAAATGGCTTCTTAGATCTAGGTCTAAAACGATTAACTGTTATTGGGTTTAGTCCTTTCATTTTTTGTTTTAGATGTGGGTCCTTTGACATTTATTACTTTTCTCGTTGTGTTGATTTTACCTTTTGAGATAAATAAGGAAAGCGCATTGAAAATCTAAATTTAATGCATTATTTTCTTATAATTGAATTCCAGAATTTGAATTTTGAATTTTTCACTTGATAATATTCCTAATATATGGATAAAATACATTTAATCAATAAAAAGTAAAGACCCACATATTATACCAATTGATTAAACAAGCAGCCACATTAAATTATGTATCTGACATACAGGTAAATAATGCTATTATTAGCAACGAAAAATACTTAGTGATAAATAATGTTACCTATAAGTTAGGAACATAAATTAGAAAACTACCTATAAGTTAGACACAAAAATAGACAAAATAAAATTGTACGTTACCTATAAAAGAAAAAGGTACATAAAATACTATTACACATTGTCAAAAATATGAAAAAACATATATATATACCTATGCAATAGGCAATATGACATAAATGATTTCTACCCGATTCAAGTCATAAGAGGCAACATTTGAACAAAAAATAATTTTTAAAATAAAATAATAAAAATATTACATCAAAAAATATTTAAAAAAGAATGTAATTCTATGTGGCACAAAAATCAAAGGACTTGAATCAAAGTCACCAAATCTAAGGATTAAATCCAACTCCTCGATAGGAATTTGGATCTATATCAACTTTTCTAAAATAAAAATTATAGGTATGTGGTGGTGGTAAAAGGGATTCTATTAAGAGGGATGATAATGCACTATAAATTCACACACAAAACACAGATGTTAAGACTCGAACTCAGAATCTTATCTGAAAAAGCAATTACTCTAAACCACTACACTAGTGGGTCCTTTGCTAAATGATACTATATATTGGCTGCATTATTGTGGTACAAATTGATGCTAAATTGTCCCACATGTGAAATTATACTAATAAATATAGTCTTTTTTTGGTGAAATAGTTTTGTTGGATAGATAGGCCCGGATAGAAAATAAAAAATTTGTGTAGATTTGTGTAGGAAATTAAAAAATTGCTGAAATGATCAAAGGCTCATGATGCTAATTTTTGGCTGTATTACATTTTGATACCCAAAAGGAAGGAACATAGAAAAGAGCGCTCTCTCTCTCTGAGCAAAGGTACCTATTTCTTTTTGGTAGTACATGCCATCTCCGACATGGAAGTCAGTCTTCGCACAATGTGTTGAGTAAAAGCTCCCTATTTCTTTTTGGTAGAACACGCCGTCCTTGACATGGAAGTCAGTCTCTGCACAATTTGCTTGAGCTTACTACTACTATAGGAGAAAGTTAACCAAACAAAAAAACCATTTTTCTTGATTTTGAAAATGTGTTTTCCCTCTTAATTTGGAAATGTGTTTTTCGATTCAAATATTATGTTTTTTGTATTCGGACAATATAATTAAGAAAATAAGAATCGAACTCGTGTTATAATTTTAAAATAAATATTTTACCACTAAAATTATAAACCCTTACAAAAATTTTAAGATACTTGAGAAGAGTGTAGTTTTAAAAATAACACTTCAGAATGTGCTGCAAAGAAAAAATTGATAGAGACATGAGCATACGAACTGAGTTGTCAACTGGTCATTGATAATCTTGAAGCAACAAACATACTTATTTTCAACAACCTGAAATTGTAAGTTCATGACGAATAATTGTTTGTATCTTACTGCTAATTATAAATATAAATTCTCCTATGCAGATGTCCGGACGTTATTATCATCTACACGTCATGTATTTTTACTATCTCTCATTGCTTTCCCATTTATTTACAATGGTATCTACACTATAATAACTTACGAACATCCAGATAAGAGAATAACTGTATATATACAAGAGGATGTCCGTACATATATATATCAACTTTAAAATCACATGAATTTAAATGGTGAAGATTAGTCTTACTTAAACCCTCCTTGTATTTTGTGCTTTGTTTTGTTTTTTCCGTTCTTTGTTCATTTATGCATATGCATTATCATCAAGAAGAAGATATTCTTTACTTTTGGAACGACATGTTAAAATGAAAGTCCCTTTTTGCTGGATGGCCATTCATGGTTTGGAACTTCATGCTCCCTTTGTCGTACGTGCTGATGGTGTCTGCAACAACATGATATATCATAAACTTAATTATTTTTATAATGCAGTACTACAAGTTTGACTACTTATAGTGACCACTATATACTTTTATTTTTTTGGTAAGATAAATATATATTTGTTGAAGCCTTGTTAATCTTGCAATCAGAAGAAACAACATTTGGTAATTTGGTTATTAAAAATACAAAATGGCGGGCTTGACTTATTCAACGCAATTAGATTATGTCAGTCTAAGTTCAACGACAGATTTTGTGTGTAACCCAGGAAATGAAAAATAGTTGTGGCATTGACAGTTTCAAGGAAACCTAAGATGGCCAGCCAGAAGGAAAAAAAAATTTATTATTTGTCCCATATACATATAAAATGAAAGTGATGTGAATTAAATTACTGTTCAATTCAAAGTTGGTGAGTGCGTAAAGTCAATGAATATGAGCCTGTCTTAAGCAAAAAGGTGAAAGAATGGATGTATGATGGGCTACCAACTCCCACAGTGAGAGAGAGAGAGAGAGAGAGAGAGAGAGAGAGAGAGCTAGCAATTTGACCCCAAAAAAATGTCTTTTTTGAAAAATCTTTGGCTTTTTCCAAAAGTTAATTTTTTTTTTTTTTGGCTAAAACCTAAATTTACTTAATTTAGGGAGACTTTACTTAATTATAATTAGTTTGGACTAATTAAATTTTAATCAAAGGACAACCATTTGTATACAAAGAAATACACTATTCAGTATTTGTATACATATCATTAAGTATTGTGGGTTTCTTTAAATATTGCTAAGTCCCAGATTAAGTCCAATCAGTATCTACATCCACCATTTAAAGAAATGGTCCAACCAGTGGTCAAACAAAGTTGGCCAGTGGACTTTTACCGCAAAAAAAAAAAAATCACATGACTTTCCTAAGTTCACGCAGGTTTACCAGTGGACTTTTTAGAAACTTTTGCAATTGGTGGAGTAATTTGTAAAAAAGAAAAAAATTATATATTTATATCACGTTTTTTAAGTATTAACATGAAATCATATACGACAAAAAGAAAGGATTGGGGTTGGAATTTAAAATATTTAAATGTTTTCTTGTTGTTATCAGAGGAAGGCATAATCTTCTTGAGATTCATCCAAATCTTCAACATGTGTGTATGTCTCCACTAATGTGGTGCAAATAAACTATACCTTAAAAAAAATATATTAGTAAACAATTAAAGCAGGCCGCCCAAAATTTATAATAATTACCTGAAAACGCCAGAGGAGATCACTGCTGGGCTGAACCTTGAAGCGGTTTCTGTAGAAATTTTCACGAGCTTCTTCAACCTCTGCTCTCTCTTCAGGAGTACCTGCATCTGGGTCAAACTCCCATGTCTGCCTTCCATGGAAGTTGTTTGTGCTGAACAACAAGGGGTCATTTGCCCCCTCTCCAAACTTCATCCTCCACATCTTCTCTTGATCACTTAATTAATTAGTACAAAAAGTTTCTTCTTGTATTAACTGCATGAATGGAGCACAGAAAAAATTAGTATGATTCTTGAGTACTAATAATATGACTAGAAAATATTAATCTATCTACGACGAAGCTCTCGTAGACTTGTAGCTCCATTGGTTGAGAGTATTTAACCAAGAGGTAAGGTGAGAGTTCGAATTTCCATTTCTGTCTTACCTACCTCACCTCTTTGGTAGAAATACAGAAAAAAAAAAAAAAAAAAAAAAAAAAAAAAAAAAAAAAAACTACTAGGGCAAATGAGAGATTCTAAAAGCTGGCCTGATGTTCATCCATTTGAACTCTTGTATATATATATTTGAGTACATATGTGAAGGAACTGGCTGTTGAGAACTCACCGATCTGCAAAAACTGGCTGGTGATGATGAGGGAAGGAACAAGGACGGGTTGCTTGAGTTAGTTGCTTAGCACAAATAATACTGATGAGTCTGTGATGTTTGATGCATGGGAACCCCACTTTATATAGATACAAAGGTTTTGCTTACAGACGCCGACAATAAAATAAAAATCCACCAAGCCCCATTTTTTCGAATATTTTATCCATCCTCAACTGTTTGTGTGACTGAGAGAGAGAGAGAGAGAGAGAGAGAGAGAGAAATTAGAGGTAAAATAAAATAATTCCAAGTCAACTTTGGTGTTTATAAATTATATTTTCTCATAATAATTGTATTTTGGTTTCTAGTATACGATTCAACTAATCAATATTTTTACTACATGTACAAGTTTTTACTTTTTCATATTTTTTATTTTTTATGTTCATTGCCAGAACAAATTGTCCCATCAATATTATCGCATGCATCTTCCATCTTTCCTTTTCTTTTTGGGGTTAGGAAAGGGCTAGATTATTAATGAGAGCAAAAAAGTTGGTCACAAGAAACGTCATTTCGTAAAATTTCTTCCAGCCCAACCACACAGGGCCTTCCACCAAAAGCAATCAAAGTTGGTCACAAATTAATATGCA